TCACAACATATAAATGATTCATGAGGTGGTGGCAAGTTTTAATATGGTTATTGCTTTACAGCTGTAAATTTTACATGTAATCATTTAAGCTCCTTTAAAATAACTTAGGTAATGCCAATGAGTTAGTTGCCAGATGTATTTTTGGTCTTGTATTCTGTTCTGAAACAGCTAGATGGGCAGTAATAACTACAAACTTTTTAGAGGGGATAGTAAAATGAGGCTTTGTTTCCTCAATCTTAGCTGCAGTCTGTGCAGTGATTAAATATTTCAGTACCCTTTTTTAAGATAGAAGAGGCTACATCTTTTATCTTGTTTGATGTTTCTTGTTTTTTATATAGTGGATAAGGAGTTATATGTGTGTTTTTTTTTTTTTTTAATCTGGAGTGCACTATACTTCAAATCTATGTTGAAGATGAGTGGTGTTAAAATAAATAAAATAAACTCAGTTTAACACTAGTGGGAAATAAATATGAGAGCAGATATAAAAACTGAAAAGATTTTTTAAGGTATGCTTTTTAGGGTATCTTGGACTTTGCTGATCTTCATGGATTAAGTCCGTGAAATTTTTTAAACTCTTTTTTTATGCTCTTTTTTTCTGTCTCATCATTTATTATTCTAACACCATATGCTATACCCACAAATGATGACTAGCGTAGAGGCTTTAAACAGCACAGAGCAATGTTTTCAGATTAGCACCACTGAAGCCTCTATCACAGTTTTATATCAATATATTTAAATCTGCTCCTGCCTTATAATCTAAGACAAATTGAAGGTATGTCTGGGACCTTGTATAATGTTTATTTAGCAATTTCATGGGCTGACAAAAAGACTGAACAGTAAGTGGGAACTCTTAGAAGAGAACATGAATATTGCATTAGTCTCGTCCCGCAGTACCTTGCAGGGAAAGGTAGGAAGCCGATGCCCATAACAAGCTGCTCAGCAGCAGCTGAGCCTGTGTTCTTATCTTGGAGGATGTGGTGAATTTTTTGCTGCTGCTCTGGAGTTTGACTGAGTGCTGCTTCTGATGGAGCCTCAGCATCTAGCACGCTTATGAAGAAAGCATTAGTTGAAGATGCATGGCATGTAAAGATCAGGTGAATGCTGAAGCTGGGTATGGAGTATGTGGTGGAAGGGAAGAGAGACAAACTACCTGGTGACTGAGTGCTGCTGCTGCCACTAACTTCGAGTCAGTTCAAGACTAATCATTTTCTCAGGGTCTCTGGGTTCTTCTCTTAGCTTTTCAGTTCAGAGATAATCCTTTTCTTTTGGAAAGGGTACTGGGCCAGAAAATAAGACCAAATAAGACCAAAAGCAAACAGAGACATTCTGTAGTCTTAGAAAGTAGACGGATTGACTATTCTCACACAATGGAAAAAAACCTATTTTTTAGCTCAATGAAAAGAAATACAAGAATCTTTTTTCTATAATAATTGGTTTGGAAGTTCTGGAAGTTCTTTCATCTATTATCATACAGTCTAGGACTAGCCAAGAATAGGCTGCTTTTCCACGTTATTATAATTAATTTCTTTCTTAAAGAATTGTGTAGTTAAACACTGGTGTTTCTTGTGCTGGTCTCCTGATGATCCAAGTACTTAGCTGATGGGGAGCTGCAATATAGGTAAATCATGTTGCTCATGTTGCTTATGTTGCTCACAATTCAGTTGCCTTCTTGTGGTAACTGCTAGGTTCCTATTGCTTTGGAGTGGATGTATCTGAAAGACAGGGCATGAATTCTGCAACTTGGGAAATTAAAATCATGATTCCATCAATTAACAGATACTTGCGAGCAAAATGTATCATAGTTCTCACAGTACCTACTTCCCTTAGTACCACAGCAGATGATCAGTGATAATTACAGGTTTTGACATTGTGAAGACAGAAAGACATTTTAGAGCATTACTCTCTCCTCAGTGCAGTTGGGACAGGATACTCTGGTCACTGTGTTGCGTGTTTTGTTCCTAAGATTCCTTAAAATAATTACAGTGTGTATAAATATGCATTAGATATACCTTTCTTTTTTGTATTTATATGTATTCATAAAAATGTAGAAAAGAGATATTTTGGGATATACCTATGAAGAAAGCCAATGTCACGCCAGTCTTCAAAAAAGGCAAGAAGGAGGACCCAGGCAACTACAGGCCAGTGAGCCTCACCTCTGTCCCTGGAAAAGTGATCGAACGGCTCGTACTGGCTCTTGTCTCTGGGCACATGGAGGACAAGAAGGTGCTCAAGAGTAGTCAGCATGGATTCACCAAGGGGAAATTATGCTTGACTAATCTGATAGCCTTCTATGATGGAATGACCAGCTGGATAGATGAGGGGAGAGCGGTGGATGTCGTCTATCTGGACTTCACCAAGGCTTTTGACACCGTCCCTCACAATGTCCTCCTGGGCAAACTCCAGAAGTGTGGGATAGATGAGTGGACAGCGAGGTGGATTAGAAACTGGCTGGATGGCAGAGCTCAGAGGGTGGTGATCAGTGGTGCTGAGTCTAATTGGAGGCCTGAAGCTGCGGTGTCCCCCAGGAGTCAGTCCTTGGTCCAGTCCTGTTCAATTTATTCATCAATGACCTGGATGAAGGCACAGAGTGCTCCCTCAGCAAGTTTGCTGATGATACCAAACTGGGAGGAGTAGCTGATACCCCAGAGGGCTGCGCTGCCATCCAGAGGGACCTGGACACACTGGACAACTGGGCGGTGAAAAACCTCATGCAATTCAACAAGGCCAAGTGCAAGGTCCTGCACCTGGGAAAGAATAACCTCAGACACCAGTCCAGGCTGGGGACTGACCTTCTGGAGAGCAGCTCCGCGGAGAAAGACCTGGGTGTCATGGTGGACGACAAGCTGACCATGAGGCAGCAGTGTACCCTCGTGGCCAAGAAGGCCATAAGAGGAGCGTCTCCAGCAGGTCGAGGGAGGTGATCTTGCCCCTCTACTCAGCCCTGGTGAGGCCACATCTGGAGTGTTGTGTCTGGTTCTGGGCTCCACAGTACAAGAGGGATGTGGAGCTGCTGGAGAGAGTCCAGCGCAGGGCCACAAGGATGATCAGGGGCCTGGAACATCTGCCCTATGAGGAGAAACTGAGGGAGCTGGGCCTGTTCAGCCTGGAGAAGAGAAGGAGATCCCTGAGAAGGGATCTAGTCAGGGTCTATAAGTACCTCAAGGGAGGCAGTGAGGAGGATGGTGCTTGCCTCTTTTCACTGGTGGCCACCGACAGAACTAGAGGAAATGGCCGGAAACTAAAGCAGTGAGTTTGACAGAGCCCTGGAACAGGCTACCCAGAGAGGTTGTGGAGTCTCCTTCTCTGGAGATCTTCAAAATCCTCTTGGACGCAGTCCTGTGCCACGTGCTGCGTGGCCCTGCGTGTGCAGGGGGGTTGGATTAGATGACCTCTAGAGGTCCCTTCCAACCTTAAGCATTTTATGGTTCTGTGGTTATCTAAGTTCTATAGAACCTATGCAGACAGTCCCTGCAGATATACAAAACAAAATCTATCTTCTCAGCAGGTGTAATAGAACATTTTCAGGTATAATCCCAAGCCTGACTGCTCTCAATACGGACATAAAGAAGTATATGCCTAGGAGAATGCTAATTTAATAAGATTCTAAGGGTTGTAGTTCAACATGTTACTTCTTTTGGATGTGCTTAATATTGTGTGTTGATGTGGGAATTGATTTTAAATCTCTCCCCCTGCCCCATTTTCTTACAAATTATAGCTACATTTTATTGGCAAGTGTTAGGAATCTATATCCATTGTACCTCTGTATTTTACATGCATTCTTTTCTTTAAAGAGATTTTACCCATTAAAATAATTTCCACAACTATGGATTCAGTGCTTTCTGCAAAACCAGATCAGTTTTACTTCCTTACATTTCATATTTCAGTTTATGCCTTTATGGAAGCATATCTAGGTCAATAAAAGATATACTTCAATGATAGTGAGTTCAAGATCATAAGCTTCTGACAGAGAAATTGCTTTTAAACATGTAGTTACAGCCCCAGGTGTGCTTGTTGGTTTTTGGAGGTGACAGCCGAGGCAGGCAGTGTCACGTGCAAGCAGCGCCGTAACCATGAAGCACCGCGTGGGTGGACTTCATCGGTCCCTGCATTTCCTGTGTAAATACTCGTTGCTCAGCCCAAATGCTTAAAGGGATTGTACTCCTTGTAAATTACAGTTTGTATGTTCCTGGTTTTATTTTGACCAGATTCGGAAAACTACACAAACCAAGCTATTGGTGGTATAAATAGCATATCATTTGTAGCTATTAGATATAATCAATCTTTTTTTTTTTCTTTTTTTTTAATGTAAGTTACTGTTAAGATTAGGAATTAAGTTGACTTCTTTCTTTGTGACAACTACAAGCTATTCTCTGAGCTTATGTCAGAATTTGGTGCTATGGAACACACAGTGAACTACTAAACCATTGCGACATGAAAATGTTGTCATTAGGCTTCAGAGGCTAATTTTTTCCTGATTTTTGCAGACCAAAGAATGCTATGTCCCTTCCTTCCTGCTTTGGTAGGATTTCTTTCAAATAGTGTAGTCCCTAAACTAACCATTACATTCTAGAATATGATCGTGTTTTGATATTCAGATGAAAGGGCATCAAGTGCATGCATTTGTTCACAGAGACAAGTTGGCTGTAATCGAAAATCTTCATACCCAAAATTCAGAATTGATGACTTGAATGTTTGTATGGGCGAGTGCAGAAGACAGCAATAGCAATACCTATGGTGCTCTGATCGCTTCACACCGAAACGGTCATGACTAAAATGATTTTCAGTGATTTTTGTTTTCTTTCTGTAATGGTTTTCAGTGTCAGTAATTAAAATTCACTAATGCTTTATTTTTTTTTCCCTTACTGCAATTTATCTGTCCTTCACTTATTAACCCTTTAGGAGCTCCGACTGACAGGTTACCTAGCCAGACTGACGAAGGTACCAGTGGGGATATTGCACAGGATCCTGAACTTATTGCTGCCCTCCAGTTCACAAAGTGAGATTCTTTCTGTCCTCGATTCCATCAACAAATATTCAGATGGTGTTGCCGAAAGTGACAGTAATGCAGAGGAATCTATCGGCTGTAGAAAAAGGTAAGTGTAACATTTATTGGTAGACGGAAGGTTATTGCTTTACAGGAATATATATCTGGTGGGCAAGCAGACTTACCACAGTACAAAAATAGCAGATGCGTAAGTTTCCTCTGAGAGATTTCTGAAGAGTAAAAGTAATTTGAAATTACTGATTAATTATGTGAAATATACAAAATAGATCTGTTAATTAAAAGTTACTAACCTTTATAAAATATTTTTTGCATAAAGTACAGATATGTAGATCTGATCATTTTCTTTCTATTGGCTTTAATTTATCTTTTTGAAAATACTTTCATTCCAGCTTTTGCATTTGCACTATCCATAGAAACTACAACAATGTTCTAACTTTTGTATAGTAGCAGGTTCAATACACACCAAGGTAAGAAGAGGGGTGAAATAACCCACAGGAAATTCACCCTTTCCGAGGTTCCCACTGTGTGCCTGTGATCACATTGTGCCACATGAACCTAACTAACTAACTTAACTGTAGTTAAGCCTGAATCCAAAGCTCATTTGCTGAGCCAAAAGCTCCCTTGGAACATCTGCACTGCCAGAGAACTCAACCCAAGGTGATCACAATTCATGAAAACAGCTAATCAATTTCCACTGTTTGATATTGTAGAAATACTGTGGCAACCAATTTCAAAAGATTTGCATATTTTGTAATGTCAAATGCAGACAGTGAGGCATCATAATCATTATTATCTAAGCCTACCTGTAAAACCTCATTCCCTTTTAACTAGTGTAATGTCTCGTGAGAGACATTGTTCTTTCTGCATTCTTTATTATCGTGGAAAAATCATTGAATGGTGGAGAAGACATTATAATTAGTGCAGAAATACATGAATTATGCCCTGAATACCTTAACAGCCAACATGTAATTGTTCATAACATTGCTGGTTTAGGACTTGAGGGAAAGGTTGTTCATCAAGAAAGTTCTTACAAGAAAGTTTTATTAAATGTACTTCAGATTTCATGAACTGATAACTCCTAACGATAAATGCCATGTTTAAATTTCAGCATTGCCAATGCATGTCTCTTCAAAGTTCATTAATTAGGGTCTCATTTGGCTGTTTTTCAGTTCAGTTATAGACACAGGTGGCTTTCCAGGGCCTTCATCCATCCAGTTTATCCCAGTTAACACTTACTTAGCCATTGTCCAGTCAACACTGGGAGGTCCCTTCCATGGCACAAAATGGGGAGAAAAGCAGATGCTGCAGCACTGGGCCCACTGCTCAGCTGCGAGGAACACAGTGGGGTCCTTAGGGCCATGGTTTGAAGTGTGACCCCATCAAGTTCAAATACTTTGTGACAGGGCCACAAAAATCTCTGAATACGTATGTTGTTTTTATTTGAATTATTATGCCATGGTGTCAGCAATTAAAATCAGAAAGAAGAGGGAAGCATGTATGTTTGGGGATTTACTACTGGAAATTTTTTCTTGCCTCTTTATTCAGGAAGCAGCAAGGGCTGTGGCAAGCATTAGAGAGCAAAGTAAAGCAAGATCTGATAAACAGAAATTTGGAAAAGATGTCATCTCTAACCAGGAGAAAAGACAGGTAGGGGAAAGGAGGAAGAAACATGCAGGGGTGTTTTTATATGTCATTTCATTTCTGAAGATTCTTTCAATAAATATTTATATATAATTATAAACATGTAAAACATCTGTGAGAAATCATGCTTTTTCTGACACTGTTTTCTTACTGTTAGATTCATGTGCTTTGTACAACGTGTTTGCACATAATATGCAATAAATTAAGTCCCTAAATTTTTTTTCTGCACACTTCCACACATTTTTCATGCCAGTTGCCCACTTTCCTCATAGTTATTTATGATAAGGTTATTTTTTCTTATGCAGTTTTACATCTCATAACATGTAAATTATTGGGGATTGGAATGAACGCAACCTTCAGTCAGAGTTTTCATTAGCTTCCAGAGCAAAATCACCACTTTTTTGTTCTTTTGGGAAATGGTAGAGACATGTATGTATGAGTTTTCATTATTCTTTTAAAATCCTATTTATTTATTTATTTATTTATTGTTAATGTAGCTTGATAAAGAAGAAGCAACTTGCTTTCCTGGAGACAGCATCATTCATTCATCATGAATGTTCGCCTAAACAAAATCCTGTGGAACAGCCTGGTCCACCTAGTTCCTTGAATGTGATGACTGCAGAAGCCATTGAGCTATTAGATACGGGGGAGAAGGTGTTTTTATTCCGTGAGCAGAATGATCCAGGACTTATGCTTCGTAGTCCTCCAAAGAAAAAGAAAAAGAACTTTCTTAATGCCAAAAAGGCCACTCGTGCAAGTATGAACTAATGAGGGAGACATCCAGACAGTGTATCCAACTGGAAAGAGAAAGTTACTTAAGTCAGAAGAATAATGAAACAGAATGAAATGTGCAGTTTAACACTTGCATAGTTTTAATATTGTTTTCTTGCCATTGTAAGTAGCTGTAGTTTAGAATTGGATTTTGCATTCCATCAGTTAGCAGATGTGCATTGTGCCTCTTGTAATTCTTGTCAGCATGAGGGAGACGTGGATGAAATATGGGTCATGATGCGCGTTGCGATGAGCAGCACTCAATGTTCATTCGGTTCAGATCATTTTTGCACTGGTTTTACTAACTGTATTTTCATAACTTATGTAGAAAGAGTATTTATTGTATAAAGTAGTGATTTACTATTTTGTTTAAATATATTCTTGTAACAAGCTGTGGTATAGCAGGTAATATGAGGAGATGGAGTAGATGGCCCACAATCCCTCTGTTCTCTGCTTCTCTGTTATTCTAGCTGATTTACTACTTAATAATGTGTTTTTAATAGACTTGCAACACTATGTCTGTAATCTACATTCTACAATTATAGTTGGTAGTCAATATCTTTAGCAAATACAGGAATGCTTAGCCTTACATCCCAGGATAACTTCAGCTTTTCGCTATTGTTGCTAAGCATAACTCTAGTAGAACTGCAAGTATGGATACAGTTCAGCTATTTGCAACCTGTCGCAGTCTTTTCTTGGTGAAGTAACAGGGGGCTTGTAATACTGTCAAAAGCTTGCTTTTTTTTTTCTTTTTTTTTTGAAGTTCTTATTCATGGATTAAATTATTAGAGTATCATTTTACAGTAACAATTTTCAAATCTTTCTGGTTGAGAGAAGGAAACTTGTAAATATGAACATTAGAAACAGTAACAGCTAAAGTAAATAAAAGCAACAACTGTATTTACTTTTTCATGATATTCAAGCACATTTGGATTTTTTGAACTGTTTTTGAATGCTATGCTTAGAGTGTATGGTGATAATGTATTGAGTTTCCTTGTATTAATGTTGGCCTCATTTAGAAAATTAAAAAGCTCCTTTATATAAAATACCTTTAATTTGCCGGAACCATGGAGGCGAGGTGCTACAATAATGCTTCCTCCTGCATGTATCAGTATTTAGGTAACAGATCAGGGTTACACCTAGTGTTACAGGAGATAGAACTGCTGCTGTTAGAACTAAATGTCTGGACAGACCACATGAAAAGAGAGGGCCTATAGCACTTACAGCATGGAGAATGCAGCAATGTGAGAAGTACCAAAAATGAATTTGTATAGGCTAATGGGCTTAAGAATTAGGTTGCTCTACTATAATATAAAGCAAATTAAACCTTGAGTGCAACAACTTTATATTTCTCCATCTGTTTCACTAGTCCCATTTTGAAGAAAGCAAAACTTATCTAACTCTTTATTTTACAGAATCATAGAATCATAGAATGCTTAAGGTTGGCAGGGACCTCTAGAGGTCATCTAGTCCAACCCCCCTGCACACGCAGGGTCACCTAGAGCACGTGGCACAGGACTGCGTCCAAGCGGGTTTTAAAGATCTCCAGAGAAGGAGACTCCACA